TTCTGCCAGTGTTTGCCATTGAGAATTATGTTCGACAAAATAAGATTTTTGGGCTGGCCAAATAGTTCAGCAGATTAAAGTGCCTACAAGCAGGTGCAGGGGCTGGGGGTTCGATCCCCCAGACTTGCCATGCCAGCCCCCGCCCCAGGGCTCACTGAGACGGCAATTGAGGCTGGGCATGGTGCAAGCACCTGTAATCCCAGCTCTTGGGAGGCTGTAAGCAGGCGGATCACTAGGAGTCCAATCTAGTAGTGAGACCCTGAACACCCTGTGGTCCCTTCCCTAAAATACAAAAAAAAATAAGAGATTTTGTCACTGTTAGGAATCTTTAGGCCAGAGGCTGGGGAGATGGCTCAGTAGAGTAAGCGCTTGCCTAGCAAATACAAGGTCCTGAGTTCAATCCCCAGTTACACCAAAAAAAGAAGAATCTTTAGGCCAAAGTTTTTACTGTTAAATCCTTGAGGGCCAAGAGTCTGCTGTGCTGTAGGTATCACGTGTAGAACAAGTACTGCATTCCTTCCTTTGATATCTGACAGAAAAAATTCTGGTTGTCTGTGACACTGTGGAATGTATATTCTGTTCGTTTAGGTTTTTGGAGGGGCAGTGCATGTTTGCCCTCAGCCTGTAGTGCCATTGTTAGATTTTCTTTTCAAGTACTGGGGATTGAATCTGGGGCCTGGATTCAAGGCAAGTGCATATATTACCTGTTCATTTCCTCCCTCCCCCTTTGGAGATCATCTTGCTATGTTGCCCAAATTGGTCTCTTAACTCCCAGGCTCTTACTCTGCGTCAGCCTCTAGGTAGCCAAGATATAAACTTATGCACAGTTTATGCACCCATTATTCTGTCACTGTCAGGTTCTTGTGCTGTGGAGTCCAGGCCAGAGGGCTGGGGTATAGCACAGGGGTCAAGTGTTACCTCATGCCATGCCTGAGGCTGTGGGTTCAAACCCTGGCACCATAAAAGAAAAAAAAAAAAGTCCAGCCCATGGGCCAGCGAGATAGCTCAGTGGACTAAAGACCCTGCTTAGGCAAGCCAAGGAACTGCGGTCCAACCCCCAGCACCACATGCTGCGACAGCCCTGTCCCTAGGTGTAGTGGCACATGCCACTTGTAATCCCAGTGCTGGGGAGGCTGAAAGCAGGACGATCATCACAGGTCCAAGCTGCATAGTGAGACCCTGCAACAACCAAATACATTTTAATAAAAGTCCAGCCCAGATGTTCCCAGATGGTTTTTCTGAGATTTGCATATAGCACATTTCATTCTATAGTTTATTAAGATTATGTTTAAGGTGTACTAACAGTGTTTGGACAGAATATCCTGTCTGCTTCTTGTGCTATGGATAACCACTAAGAATATAACAATATACAATGTATTGATTATCAAAACTGTCCAAAAAAATAAATAAAAAATAAAAAGATCATGTTTATAGGGCTTTTATAGGCTTTTGGACTTGCTGAGTAGCCCAGGCTGACCTTAAACTCATGGTCCTCCTGCCTCAGCCTCACTGTTGCCAGGATTACTGGTTGTATCATCATGCTCAGCTCTGTTGTTTATATTTGTACTTCTGCTAAGTTAGGGTGTATTGAGGGCAGATAACCTCTTACTCATCTCTATTTTACCCAGACTGTGTCTTGCCAGTGATAGGTTAAAATGAGAGATGACTGTTGTCGGGCTAATTTAGAACATGATTTGAGTGTCCCCGCTAGATGCCTTTCTGCTCAGTTCATCCCGTTCCTTCCCTTTAAACTATCTGGTGTGGCTACGCTCTTACCCCGTTTTCCCCAGGAGCCCATCCAGTTGTCAGAATATCTGCCCTAAAAGAAGCTATACTTTAGGAGACCTAGAGAAGCTCTAGACTCCTGTCTCTGCCTGGCATTTGGGAAACCCCTTCCCAGTGCCCTCCCATCCCATTAGTGTTCTGATGCCTGCCCTCTTGCTACGGCTGGGGTTTCCTCTGGCAGTGGCTCACTCTTCCTTACCTGCCTCTGCTCTGGCCCACATGTTTGGCCAATGTGAATCCGCAGTGCAACACAGATTCCCATTCAGCAGGAGCTTTAGAGTCAGGTAAACTTGAGTTTGAATTCAAAAGTATAGGATTTGTTGAGGCCGGGGAGATGGCTCAATAGAATAAGC